GGTGGCAGAGAAAAGATTGGGTTAAATCCAGGTCCTTTTCCCATGGCTCATAGTATATTCTGGAACTGTCTGCACAGTTACATATGTGTGTGTCTGTGTGGTGTGTGTCTGTCAGTGTGTTTGTGACGTCAGCAAAGGAGCATTTCTCGCTCACACTGTGTGCCCATGGGGGAGGGGTGGATGGATAAATGTGGACATGACTTGGAGGTGAGACCATAGCTCGTTTCAGGCTCTTAAAGGGTCCATAAACCCCCAAAAGACTGAGAACCCCTTGACTGGGTGACCCTTAAAATCCCTTTGAGCCTCATTTGTTAGGATGGACAGACAAGGTCGAGGTCCCTGCCCGTTTCCAGCACGCAGCCAGTCTGGGGGGAGGGGGGACACAGCCACATTTCCTGCTAACCGTGCTGGGGGCGGAGCCGGCAGGCGGCGGGCAGACAGACGCTGGCCGCCTCTGCCTCCCCGGGCAGGCGGTGCGGGGGGTTCTGCGGCAGACTGTGCTCAGCCCTGCGTCTCCCGCTTTGCCTTCCTCGTAATTCATTCCTCCAGCTCGCTGGGTTTCCGACGCTAGGCCCACGGGGGAGGCAGCATTTAATCCTGTGTAGACCCTGCCTCGCATCCCAGTCCTGCGGGTGGGACGCATGACACCCGGCCAGCCGCAGGGTGTGGCTCATGGCTCTAAGAAGTGGCCGCCAGGAGCCGTGGAGAAGCAGAGGCGGGAGGGGCGGGCAGGGCAGGCGTCTGGGGGTGCAGCGAGGCCGGCCGCCTGCTCTGAGCCCTTGCTCCCTGGTCTGGAAGACAGGCCAGGGGATGGGAGGGGATGCGCAGGGCGTCTCTCGTGGTGCCTGGTGCTGCCCGGTCGGTCCCGCCGGCCATCGCGGTTGATTCCTGAGCCCGTGTTATAGACGGAGTCCGAAGTCACACACCTGTCTCCCGCTGGGACCTGCAGACCGCGCCATCGAGCCCAAGCCTGCCCTCTTCCCAGAGCGCCGCGCTGACCTCCTGAAATTGAGACAATCAGGGAAAGGAATGGAAGTGTCCAGAAAGCTGGGTGTGGCTGGGGAAGGGGCTTTGCACCCTCCCGTGTGAGAGAAGGTGTGGAACACTCAGATGGCTCTGCCCGAAAGGACAGGGCTGAGAGGATCATGGACATGTGCAGGATCTGTGGTCAGTGACACTGAAGAAATGCCCCCACCCCTTCCAGACAGCGGGTGCTGCTGTGACAGGCAGGCCACCAAGGCCTGGGGTCCGTGCAGCCCGGCAGGAAGCAGGGCCGAGGCCAGACCAGGCGGCCGGGGTCAGGAAGGGATCTGTCGCTGTTCCCTGCGGGCTCCTCAGCAGTGGACTGGGCAAACTGACCGGGTCCGGCAGGGCCAGAGATCCCGGTTATGAGCTGTGGGGGCCCAGGAGGTGCCGGAGGGCTGGTGGTGTGACCAGGAGAAACCACGGTCATGGCAATGCTGGTTCTGGAAAAACATCTGCAGGGAAAATGCATCAAAACTTGCACTTTTGAGAAGGAGGAAGAGGCCGGGGGTCTAATGCTCCCTGCGGATCCATTAGGGCTTTAGCACACGAGCAGCCGGGATGGACTCCAGCTCCCTCGGGCAGGAGAGGGACTGAGGAGGCCCCAGGTGGGGGCAGCAGGGCCGGGCCTGAAACCAGCTGTGCAGGAGGCCGCTGGGTGGGACATGGCCCCCACCCACGATGCCGTCTCCCCCACCAGATCCCAGCCCAAGCGACCTGTTCACACGCCACCAAGTGGGCAGGACGTCTCTCGAAGACTCACAAGGGGGAGGCCGCCTCCCCAGCAGGGCAAGGGCTGGGCTCAGCCACGGCCGGGGACGGGTCTGTGCTGGACGTGGCTGCCGAGCGGGGAGGAGCCTCTTCTGGTCCCCGGCCACCCCTTCCTCCTGCCCGGGTTGCTTTCCTGTTTCTTCCTTGGTGTGCCCGTCCGTGCCCACGTAAGCACCCCGCCACTGCTGCTCGGGCTGGGGACTTAGGGGTGAGACCCTGCCCTCGGGGCTCATAGCCCGCTCGTTCCTTTATCCATGCATTGAGCAAACACCTCTCGGTCACCTAGTGCCACAGCCTGAGATACAGTGGGAGGAAGACCACGCGTGGGCCTTCCTCACAGGGCCACACACAGGCACGTACGTGCAGGGCAGTGTGGTGGGGCCAGTGGACACAGGGAGGGACGTGGGTCTCCTCTACCTCCCTCTTTCTTTCTGTATGCGCTTGGCCATTCGGTCCAGCTGGTGACACGCCTTAACGGGCGCTGCCCAGGCCCACTGTGGACCCTGAGAGCCAGTGAAATGGCCCGGGTCTTCACTAAACCAAGCCGGTCATACCTCCTGTTTCGTTTTCTATTGCTGCTGTGGCAGATTGCCCCTACCTTCGTGGTCAAAACAACACAGATTTAGTCTCTTACAGTCCAACATGGGTCCCATGGAGCTAAAATCGAGGTGCGGGCAGGGCTGTTCCTCTGGATGCACTTGGGCAGACTCTGTCTCCGTGCCGTCTGCAGCTTCTAGAGGCCGCCCCCGCTCCTTGGCTCGTGGCCACATCACTCCAACCTCTGCTTCTGTCGGATTCTCAATGCTCCTGACTCCATCCTACGAGGTCCCCTGTGATGTCATTAGCTTGGTCACGTCTGCAGAGTCCCTTTGCCGTGTAAGAGCACATAATCCCAGAGAATTGGGATGTGGACATCTTCGGGGACTCTTACTCTCCCCACCACACCTCGCCCCGCCCCCTGGCGTGCTAACAGGCACAGAGATGGTTATGGACGGGGCGTGCGCTGGAGCCAGCCCGTCCCAGCCTGGCCTGCTCACGAGGGCTGGTCGTGCACCTCCCTTCCCAGCTCACGTCCAGGGACGTCTCCTTGGTGGCGTGGAATCAGCCAAGGTGGGATCGTTCCTGCCGTGGAGATTGGCCCACGCTAGGATCAGGGCTTTTATTTTATTGACAACGGAAAGCCCGTTGTGAAACGCTCGCCAGCACACCCCTGGCCGTGTCTGCTGATGGGACCAACAGCTCCTGTTTGTAGAGTGCACGTGCCAGGCACCGTGCTAAGTAAGCACTTTCCACGGCCTAGCTCACTGTTTGCAATCCGCACAGCTCTCCCTGAACACAGGGTGTATTTTGTCATCCGAATGAACAAGAATTGCCACGAGACCAGGAGAACAAGGTCACTGGTGATGGGCGGGAGCCCAGAGGCAGACTCCTGGGGGGCTGCTTCTCCTCCTAGGGCTCTGCAGCCCCGGCAAGGGGCACGAGCCTCATGTCATCGGGCAACTTGCTCCAGGTCTCGCTGCCAGACATGGTGGAGCTGGGACCTGAACCCACATCTCTCGGAGATTCAGCCATTGCGGCAGTCCTTGTGTCACACTGAGGGCTTGGCTCAGCCCACTCGGCACCCAGGACGGACTCAAGCCCCACCTGCCTCTGGTGCCTGGTGTGACTGTCTAGTACTTCAAACGAGTCTCGGAGCTCACTCACGAGAGCCTGGTTCCCCGCCACACTGGCCACGGAACTGGGTCATGTATTCAAGCCCAGGAATTCCTGCAAACTCCTCTCTGGGAGACTGGCTGATGTTTTATAGATGTTTGGGGGGCCAGGGGTTGGCCATCTATGGCGTGACCTGAATCTCTTTGAACAAGAGTGAACTGAAGGGTACACACTTAAGTGTGCATGTGTGCCTGCCTGTGTGTTGGGGGCAAAAGGTGGACATTTGTGTTTGGAGAGAGGCTGCAGTCTTTGTCAGAGTCAGGGTCACTTAGAGCAGAGGGTCTGGCGGGGAATGGGCACTGCATTTCCGGGGTGGCCAGTTGGGAGCGTGAGATGCCATAGCATGGTGGTTTACAGCATGAGTCAGACTGCCTGGGTTCAATCCCTGGCCCCACATGGCCTGCTGGTGAACCCTTGGGAAAGTGTTTAACCTTCTGAGTCTCAGTTTCCTCATTTGTATGTGAGATGCTGACAGTATTAACTCCACGGGGCTGGCATGCCAGGGATGAAAGAGCCAGTCCACACGTAGGGCTTGGCACTGCTCCTAGCACATGTTAACCACCATAATGATGCAGTTGCTGTTAGCAAATCTAGAAACAAGGCGAGAGCAGGAGCCACATGCATCAGAGCTGGTAGGAGCTTCCTTGGGCCACACTGCATTTGAGAAGACTTTGATGAAGGCAGTGATACCAGTAATAACAATGGCTGCTTTATTGTTTGACCACCCTCCATGTGTCAAGCATGGTTCTAGAATGTTCTACAGGAGTCATTCCCCATCCCCACAGCACCCCTGAAAAATCAGGGTTATTGTCCCCAGTTACAGACGAGAAAATTGAAGTAGAGATGCCCAAAGACTCGGCACTAGTGTGGTGTGGATCAGGGAAGGTCTCGCTCCCCCACTCTGAGGTTTGACCTCGGTCTGCCTGAGTTCGAGGCAGGGTGCTTTCCACCGTGACTTTCTGTGGTAAAACACAAGGGCCTGGAAGCCACGCTGCCCTGGGTGGGAGCACACTTGCTTATGAGATCCTGGGGTATTGGCGTTTCCCATCTGTGAAGTGGGCATAGCGAGAGGCGCCCCTTGCAGGGCTGTTGGGGGGACTAACAAGAGAGAGGATGACAAACATCAGGAGCCCAGGACAGTCCGGGTACAAAGGGGTCCCCCGCCGGCTCCCGCCATCCTCACTCCTGGCCTTCCGACTGGTTCATGCCGGCGCCTCCGTGACCCTGAGTGGAGACGTGTGCACGCTTAACGTTCTCCACCGGCAGTGTCTGAAGTCCCTCATGCCCAGCACAGTGCACACCTGATGACAGCAATGTCCTGTTTCCAGCAAGGCCTCCCTAGTTAGCCCTTCTGTTTTGGTTTTGGGCACGACGGGTTCAGCCGAGCAAGTCATCCTGAAGGGTCGCAGGGCAGACGCTGTTGACAGCGCAGGCCGGGCCCCGCGTGCTGGCCTGGAAGATGCAAACTTGCTGTCCTGTTCTTGTCGTTGCAGGCTGCCAACAGCTACCTGAGAGACCAGTGGTTCCACTCCCTGCAGTGGAAGGTAAGTCCTGACTCGGTTGCTCGTTTGGGGTGGCCACATCTAGCTCGCGCAGTGGCGTGATGGCTTAAAGCCAGTCTGTCACCCAGAGGCACGAAGGTGACCTCCTGCCTTCCAGACGGCTTGACGAAGGGACTTTGCTCCTCTGTGTGAGAGCCCGGCCCCTTCGTGCCATGGTGTCTGATACCTGTCCCCCGCTGTGCTGAGACAGTGTCCCTGCTGGTGGCCGCTGTGTGAAGGAGCCCTTCCACTGTTTTCCTGCCTGGGGCGGGTCACAGATCTGCTTGCTCTCAGGATAATCAAGACCCTGAGGGGCCAGAGAGGCTGGACTTCAGGGGCTCAGGATGCTGGGTTGAAAGTAACTCTGAGGGCTGCGCAAGGCGTAAACTCAACCAGAGATTCAGAAACCCGAGTTCTGTTTCCGAAGCCTTCACTGCCTTCCAGTTTTCCGGTTCTCTGGCCTGATTTCACGGTTCTAGCTCTACGCAGGGTGGTTCAGAGCCCTGTGGCTCATAGAGAGGAATGAGTCTCCTCCGGGTCCCTTTCAAGACTGGGGGCGGATCCCCTAAGGGGCCCCCAGCCGCCCCGAGAGACTGAGTTCTGCTGTGGCTCAGGACCGGGGTGGCACAGAGCATGCACGGTCAGCGTCTGGTCCCCATCCTGTCTCCCTGTCACCCCTGCCTTCTGACCTTTTGGTTGCGAACAAGCCGCGACAGGCCTGTGGCCCGAGGAGCCAGCAGGGTATGGCTGGAATGACTGGCGTGTCATGAGCTGTCATCCTCACAGTAAGCTGGGGGCCGCAGAGGACGCACTTGGCCTTGGGCAGGTCTCAACGCCGGGTGACGTGCTGGGAGGACCGAGGGAACACTCAGGATTCCCCTCATGCCTCTGGAGGGGCCCTCGCCACAGCTGGGGCGGAGGACAGAAATACAAACCTGGAAAACGACATTCCCGGTCCCACAGAGCCAGTAGTCCCCTCCTTCCCCTGTCAGCTGCCAGCGCCTGGCTTTGTGCCTGCCCGGCCCAGTCCCAGAAGCTGAGCCTGAGTGAGTCTCCATGCTGGGGATAGGAAGGGGAGACCAGCCTGTACCGAGCTCCCACTGCGTGCCAGGAGCCGTGCTGGGCTCCTCGTGTCCCTCTGCCTCTTGCTGCAGCCGCACGGTTCGCTGCTACCTGGCTCTCGTGTCATACGGGACAGGCAGGGCCTGGGCTGGCGTCCAGGCTCCCATAGCTGCTGAGGGGCTGGGGTGGGGCTCAAACCCACCGTCCCGATACCTACAGGTTTCTGAATGTCGTTGGGTCGGAAGGTCCCAGGTGGCAGCCAGGAAGGTAAGGTGGCACCTGCCTGCTCCCGGGATCAGCGGGTGTGCCGAGAGTCCCATTTCCACAGGGAGAACATCCCTGATGCCTGGCTCTCTGCGTGCCCAGGTGCCAGCATATCCCGGGACAGGGAGGGCGCATGTCAGAAGGACAGGGGGCTGTCTGGGAGTTCGATGCCAGAGCGGTCAAGCTAGAGGAAAGACCAGCAGGGCGGTGGAGGTCGGGGGCTGCCTGGGGGAGGAGGCCATTTTCACCACCAGGGACAGTGGCTGCTGAGGCCTCGGCCTCCGTTCCCCATGCTGTTCCACAGGCGGGTCCTCTGTAAGTGCCAGCCCCACGTCTCTCAGCTCAGGACAGGGTAGAATGTACTCGGAGACACACCACCTCCCTGCCAGGCTGGGGAGAGCAGCTCACTGCAGAGGTGGCCAGGATCACTGTCAGTGGAGAGGGCAGTCTGTAGTGGTGTTCCTCAGGGGCTGCTCCCTGCCTCGCCCGGGCAGCACCTGGAAGGCAGTGCTCGTGCAGTCCCTGAACACGCACAGCTACCAGGGACGACCAAGGTGATGGGCACAGAAGACAGAATTTCAGGAGACTTTGCCAGGCTAGAAAGATGACCTACGTTCAAGTTCAAGCTTGAAACATTCAAATGTCAGGGATTGCATATGGGGTTCATACCATTGGACAAGTCCAGAATTGGGGATCCCGGGTTTCTAGCAGTTCTCATGAAGACTTGGATGTCTGCACTCAATCGTGGCAGCACTTGGTTTGTTACGGTTGTTAAATTTAATCAGTAAAAAATAAAAAAGTATCCAGAAAACCAAAGTCGGGGCCTTCACCCTCACCGTGTGAGCATTGGCTTGTGTCTTCAGCAGGCTTGAGACACCAGCAGCGTCTCCCCTTTGGCAGTTGCCCCCCAATGATTTAGGTATGCTGCCACCAGGGGGCGGTGAAATCTCAGTGTTGGCAACTTGATTTAATCCCTGTGGTCCTTGGCCACTCAGTTTTGGGGAGCTTTGGGGAGGTATGCTGTCCTTGCTTTGGAAATGACAAAGAGACGTGAGGTGTTTTAGAGATACTGCGGGCTAGTGAAACTCGGGACGTGGGGTTGAGTCCTGGTTCCTGTAGCCCGTTTGTCCTGTGATCCGGATGGATCTCAGAAGTGCTCCCCTGAGTCAGATGCAGTGACCGAGGACGTATGATGTGCGGGGCCTGGCTAGGTGCTTTCCAGTTCATTGTCATTCAGCAGGTGAGGGGACCAAGGCTCAGAAAGGTGGAGTGACTTCCAGTGGTTACATAGCAGATTTCAATCCAGATCTCGGGGCCCTCCTGCTGCCTCTTTGATCAAACCGTGCCTGACTCTGACATGTGGCCTCTGCAGCCCGCTTGGGACATGTCCCTCTGCTTCTCCTGGGACAGCCACTCACCCCTCCGTGCTTACAGCCAATCCTTTGGGATTGTTCCTCCCCTTTTTTTCCTTCTTTCTCTTCCCTGTCTTTAACTGAAAAAATCAGTAGAACATCAAAAGTAAGGACATTTAAAAATCCCACAACCTCAGCTTGACCTTTTTAATTGTTTACATGTTGTTTGTGTCATTTTATTCCCCACACCAAAGTATTTTAATATTTGTATCTTGTAGCCACAATGCACATGCAGAATATATTCTTCTATTTGTCATGAATGTTACCTCTTAAATACTGTGTTAGCATGCTGTTAGTTTTTATCAAGTTATGCTGCTATCTCTAGGATAGGCATCCTCAAACTACGGCCCGTGGGCCGCACGTGGCTCGCCGAGGACAATTATCCGGCCCGCCAGGTGTTTTTGCCGCCACTGCCTGTCCTGCTTAGCAGCTGACTTGTCCCGGGCCCACAGTGCGCATGTGTGGAATGTGCACCGCACTCCCCAGCGGTCTGAGGGACAGCGAACTGGCCCCCTGTTTAAAAAGTTTGAGGACCCCTGCTCTAGGGTGTTCCCAACAGAGGTAACATCGCCCCTGGTGGGACCAAAATTGGTTCTCAGGGGCTTAAAAAACCCTAGTTATTACAGCAGTATATGGTCCTCCAAATCTCCACCGTATTCTACAAAATCTTATTCGTTAGTATTTCATTTCAGGAGGAGGGAAAAAAGGGTTGAGAAACGCAGCTATGGAATTGACCTCAGATTGTTTTGTGGAACTGGGCAGACCATAAATAAAATGTCTGTGTGCCAGTCTTGCCAGTCTCAGTTCCGCCTGGGTGACGCTGTTGTTTTAATGGCCTCAGCTCAGAACTTTGGGACTTCACGTCTCACCTGTCGGAGGAGTTTGCTGAGCCCCAGGCGCTGTATTTTGTGCATTATCTCGTCTTACTGAATAGGTTCTGCTGCTGCCATTTGCAGATGAGGAAATCTGAGTGCGAGAGGACAGTCATTTGCCCAGCATCCCAAGACCACCAAGAAGGGGAGTGGGGCTAGACCCAAAAAACATCCCTGCCCTCCTCTCTCCGGGCAGCTCTTCCCAGCCTTCCTGCCCCTGGCAGGTGTTGGTCACGGAGGTCCGGGGAGGCCTGAAGCCCGGCAGGAGAGGCCCAGCGACTTCCAGCCCGGAAGGAGGGTGGGACGGGCCTGTCGGGGCAGCTGGGCTGGGCTGCTCGGCCCTGCCAGGATCTGCTGGAGCAGAGCCGAGGGCCTGCGGGCTCCCTGGGGAGCCGAGCCCTGTTTGGTTTGGGTGGTTCAGCCCCAGAGGCCAGTTCCCGGGGGTGTAGAAGCATAAACAGTTGTTTGTGAGCTAATGAGGCCTCATTTCTGACTCAGAGCTGCAGCTCCTGGCTCTTGCCTTGGCCCTTGGAGGCCAGGTCCTGTGGAAACAGGCCTGCGTGTACAGGGCCGTGATGGGACAGGCCTGTCCGTGTACACCAGGCCCTGGGGGGACAGGCCTGCGTGTACAGGGCCGTGATGGGACAGGCCTGTCCGTGTACACAAGGCCTGTGTGTCCGTGTACACACAGGCTTGTCCGTGTGTACGAGGCCACGAGGGAGTCCAGCCAGGACGCGTCTGCTTTGCGTAGCTGGAGCTTCCGGTGCCCGCAGCCCTTTTACCCGAGGGGGCTGCTCAGGCCGTCGCACGGAAGTCTTGAGACCAAGGTGACTGTGTCCCTAGGAAAAGCTGGGTCACTAAGTAGAGCCCCGGGGCCAAGCCCCAGAGCAGGCTGAGTGCGGACCGTGCGAGACAAGAAGCGGCCTGCCCTCCCGTCCCCGCCGGCAGGAGGAATGCACTTGGCTCTGGGAAAACCCAGCCCAGGTTCCATCTCTCTGGCCATCTGCCCCGGGCATGTCTGCCTGCTCCTTCCCGGGCAGGGTTTCCCAACCCCCCGCGGTGGCTGCTGCCTGTGATCTGCCTGGCCAGGCTCCGTCCCTCTCAGTGCAGGGCAGGCGGGTGGAAGCGAATGTAGGGTGTGTGTTTGTGTGAGAGACCGTGTGAGTGCGTGTCGGTGGGGGGGGGTTGACCACTTTATGAGTATGTTGGGTATGGAGTGTTTGTTTAGGCCTCAGTTTTCTCACCTGTGAAATGGGGATGAGAATAGTATCTTGCTTTCTGGGCAGTCAAGAGGGTCAAATGCTCTGTCGTTTGTGCAGCAGGTGGAAGGGATCCTGGCAGGAGCCAGTGAGCGTCATGTGCATCATTATCCGTGTGTCTCTGGGTGGGTCCA